ACGTTTAGCCAGCTAAGGCTTTACCATGCCTAGAGCCAAAATCCTACAAAACCAAATGCCTGCCCTCCACAAATAAGAAGTTGAAGTATCACTCCCCACTAATCAACTACAAAAAAATATTTAAATGTATTCGCTCTGCCGATGTTTCTTCTGTACCTCCCGTAGGCAGACACTCTTCTAAGAGCCAGACAGTTAATAAAACTTGCAAGGTCCCTGCCTTCATGGGGTTTACATCCTAATGGGGAAATAAGACAATTGATAATGGAGCAATAAATTTGTACGAGCATGTCATAGGGTGCTAAGTCCTACAGCATCAAGTAGGCATACATCATAGCGTGGCTGAGCAAGTAAGCTTCTGATAAAGGCTCATTAAAGTGAAGGGAGGAAGGGAGTGAAAATGTTGATCTCAGAGGGTAGCAGCAAGAGTAGGAAGTACAAAGGATGGAAGTCGGAGCAATCTTAGAAGCTGCTGAAGGGTGTAGGAGAGGGGAAAGGTGGTAAGAAGTGAGGTCAGAGACAAGCAGATGGCCAACCCAGGCCATGGACTGTAAATTTGGCTCTGAGAGTGACAGAAAGCCAGTAAAGGGTTTTGAACAGAGGTGTTCAAAGTATTGCTCAGCCTGAGCAAGAGCAGAGACAAGGTCACTGCAATCATCTTGGTAGAGATGGTGATGGCTTGGACCAGGCGGCAGAGCCAGAGGACGTGAGAGTTGGTCGTTCTCAATACATTTTGAAGGCAGAGCTTACAGAACTCACTGGTGGACTGGATATGGGCTGTGAATGGAAGGCTGATCCTAAGACTGTGACCCAAGCAAATGAAATGGAAGAGTTGCCATTTCATGAAACGGGGAGGGAAACTGAGGGAGAAGAGGCGAGGCAACAAATCAAGCATCTGTTTTTGAACGTGCCAAGTTTGATCCAGTCAACATAGAGCAGTGGCTGGATATACAAATCTGAGAGCAGAAGAAGACCAGACTGGAAAGTGACATTTGGGAGCATTAGGCAGGTAAACATTCAATGGTGTTGAAAGCCAGGAGACTGGGTGAGCCCATCTAGAGGATCAGAGTTGGGCCTCCATGTATCCATGGGGACGTGCCAATAATCTAAGGGCAGGGAAACCAGAATCTAAGAAGGAATCTGACAAGGACTGCCCCGCAGAACCATGAGTGTGATGTCCTGAAAAAGCCAAAAGAGTGTGATGTCCTGAAAAAACAGAAAGAGATTCAAGGAGAAGGGATTGACCAACTGCCAAATGCTGCTAATCAATCACAGAAGACGAAACTGAGAACTGACCAAGGGATCTGGCAACATGGGGGTCACTGGTGACCTTGGCAAGGTGAGTACAAAAGAGCATGGGAGGAGAAGAAGCAGAGACATCCAGATAATACAAGCCTCAGCACAGAACAGAGGACGCTGGAGTGATGTCCAGGAGGTGAGTGGGGACAGGATCTAGTGAACAACGGAGGTCTGCTTATAAATGGTAACCCCTCAACTGTGGCCAGGCGACAGTAAAACAGGCCCTAGCCATAGAGCAAAAACCATTCCAGCTTCTTCAGAAATCAGTCTAGCAGTACACATCATGAGCCTGGAAAAATGTCCACACTCTTTGACCCATTAATTCCACTTCTGGAAATCTCTCTTAAGGAAATAATTCCAAATACAAAAAGAGTTCTCTGCGGTTGCCTGGCCGGCTCAATCAGTAGATCGTGTGATCTTTGATCTCCAGGTCCTGGGTTCAAGCCCCACATTGGGTGTGGAAACAACTTAAAATATTTCTTCAAAATATTTTTAAAAAATAAAAAATTAGAACAAGCTATCTTCATAGAAGTTCATCATAACAGATCTAGAAACATCGAAGTATGCCACAACAGATGATTAAAGATGCAGGATGGATCTAGTCATTGGACTAAATACACTCCATGAGAATAGGGACAGTGTCTATTTTACTTAGCACTGTATCTCCGTCACCTCCCATGTATCTGACATATCTGTTGAAAGATTAAAAATTCTTATAAGGTTAAGCAAAAAAAGATATTTTAAAATATTTTAAGACTATACATAAATACACAGACACTTACAGTATGATCTCAACCATGATTTTCTAATAAAACTATGTACACGGAAAGTAAAGAAATGACTCCCAAGGAATGTGAACAATGAGTATCTTTGGGTGACAGGACATGATTTCCTTTTTCATTTTATTGTTGCATATTTCATGTATATATCAAGAATGAATATGATTAACTTTTATAACAGGGGAAAAAACAAGCCAATGTCATTTCTGGGAAAAGGAAGTGCTGGAGTGAGACAGGATCTGCGTTCCCACCACCAGGGTTCAGTAATGCTTTGCTTCCTCGAGGGGTCCCAGGCAGTCTTTGTGGGTGGGCAGCTCAGGTTCCAGCCCCAATGCTCCCCAAAGATTGGGCTCCTCCCACTACAGTCAGGGACATGCCCATTAGCCGGGACCCAGGAGCTTCCTCAGAGGTACAGCTTTCACGGGCACATTTGCTAAATCCATAATGATAGGGATGGTCAAAAATGATCATGGAAAACCGTTGATGATAGTTTTAAGTGAGATCAAGCAAAATACAGGTGGGCACATTCACTAAGAATGTAACTGCACAAACTGTTCATTCAGTGAATATTTATTGGAGGAATGAAAAGGCATCACGAGAATTTTGTCCACATGCAGACAGAGATGAGACAAACAACCAGAGCCAAACAACCCACCTTTTCAGCAATACCACTGTGCAGCCCAATCTCCAGAACCAGGACTCCTAGAGCTGTCTTCAAGATCCCAGAGTGCGTGCCCACAGGGCTCCCCAAGTGGCTCCAGGCTACAAGGCACTCTGTTTCCTTGAGCAGAGCTGCTCACACTCAAAGTTGTACACCATTAACCTGGAGGATTTGATCAAATGAGGATTCTGATTTACTAGTTCTTAAGTGGGAACAGAGATCCCGCATGTCTGTCAAGTTCCAAGTGATGCTGAGGCTGCTGGTTTTCTGACCCTACTTTCAGCAGCATGATCCCAGGGTGCTGGGGAGCCAGGCAACTCCAAGGGGCACTAGGAACTGGGAGCAGGAGACAGCCATCCGGGCAGGTTGTGTCCACCAGGCAAGGTGAGGGAGCACAGAAGCTTTCACCCACTACCCCGATTCCTAATGTCAAGCACCTTTGCCAGATCCCCAGACCGGTCCCCCTGTCCTCAAGTGTATGGGCACCCTAAAGCATCCTTGTCCCCAGGCATCCCCATTGAGATGGGTGATGAGACATAAATTCGAGGCAACTACATGGGGTTCTGGAGGGGCCTGGGACCCCAAATTCTTTGGGAAGCTTGGTCAATGACATCACTCTGGGATGAACCCCTGGGTCTGGGCTTTACCTGGAGCAGCCTGCAGCAGATGGCACCAGAGGACCAGCACAAGCCATGTCTGACAGAGTGGCTCAAAATCTATCCGGAAAGCCAGGGTAAAGGTCAGCAAAGGAAGAGCATGAGAGCTGTGACCAAAAGCTGGGACGAAACAAACAGCTCCAGGAATGGAGCTGGTGGCCCAATGGAGCGCTTGACTTGGGTGTTGGCTGCACAAGTTCTTGGTCAGGGGCCAGGTCAGAGAAACAGTCAGACACGGCTGTTCAACCTCCTGCTGCTTGGCCCTCTGCCAGATATCCTGTGAACAGCAGTCCTAGTGGCCTCCCAGTGAGACTCCTCAGGGGCTCTGGGCACATGAACATCCTGCCCCAGGAAGCCATGGTGGGTCTAACCAGTGACCACTCTGCCCCAGGGTGAATGGGTCTGAGCAGGCAAGAGCCAGACCTGGCATCCCATCAAAAGTAGCCCAGAGGCGATCTTGACCTGTCTGTCTGGTCCACACAGAGATAAAGCCTTGGATCTGGGTCAGCAGCCAGAAGACTGGGGGGGGGGCATGGGTGAGATAATCCTATTCATTTTAGGCTTTCCTCCCTTTTCCTGGGAGGAAATCTAGGTTTCAGCCAGTGTCCCATTAAGCCAAACGAAAGAACCCCCCTGCCCCTACCCTTCCTGAAGCCTTGGTGAGGCTTCTCAACAGGGTGCCCATCACCTAGAGCAAGTCAGGTTAGCAGTCAGAGTGCCGTTGGCCTTGGCAGTGGGTCAATGATGGGGAGGCACACAGAGTTCCTGGCCAGCTGCCTCGTCAAGAGAAGTCCTGAAGGTCAGGAAGAGGAGGTAAGAGCATGGCTGAAGCAGCCTGAGTCCTCCCCATGCTGGACTGTGGCCCAGGGTGCTTGTGCTCAGCTGAGCACTCAGCAGGGCACGTTTGCCATCAGCCTGACTTGCTGGAGCCCTCTCCCTGCACCAGCATCTGTCCTAGGTGTGGAGGACCAGCTCTGCGACAATGCAGGTATCCCCCTCAAGGTGGTTTTCGGGGGGGGGCACTTGCAGTCTTATTTCCAACTAAGGTGGCAGAGGCAGTGAAAGAGAAAATTGGAGCAGGAGGTGAATCCTGGGGTTCTTGCTGCTCAGGCCTGACTTTCCTGCTGCAGAGGAGCATGAGGACCCAAGATGACCAGGATCCATGCTCTGCAATGTAATACTCTAACCCCATGACAGTAATCCCTCTATCTTGTCTTCATAGACTTCTTTACTACTCATAAATTCTGTTCACCAACATCACCTCTCTCAGAGGTGAGGGACTGACCAAGGTCCAGAGCCCTGACTTCACGTGCTCCTTCCCTCACCCCACAGTGACCTCACAGTCTCATTGGCCAAGGTGAACCCCTTGGGTTCCTAGGCTGAGCATCTGTTTGTGAATTACCAGAATTAACTCTGCCTGCTACAAGCGGACCATCTCTGGTTCCAGTACCTGGTCAGGCTGCAAGGCATGCTATAACCTGCAGAATCCAGACTCAGGACTCCCCCAGGAACAAAGCTTGGATTGTGTGAATGTCAGGCTTCACAGGGCAGATGGGTGCAAAAAGAGGCTCTCTCCAGCCTCTCTGGGCTCCAGAAAACCAGCAATGATGGAGTGCCACCAGAATGCCCTAACGATGCCAGTAATGATGCAACTGGCTCACTTAGCTGAGTGAGACAGCTTAGCAATGGACATGGCAGGGAGAAGCCGTAAACCAGACTAAATGGGGTTAGACCTGCCACTGAGCCTCAGAGAGCCTTTGGAGACCTCCGTGTGCACTGTGGACAGGGGCAGATGCTCGGATTCATCCACCGGAGCACTCTGCTGACATGTCAGCACCAGGGCCTTGACCTCCTTCTTGAAGTTGTTGTTGAGAAAACCGTAGATGAAAGGGTTGACACAGGTAGAGGCCATGGCAAGCAGGTGGCACACCAAGAAGATGAGGTTGGCGTAACAGATGGGGATGGCCTCGTGGTACCAGTCCTCTAGGCTGTTGAACACATGCAGGGGCAGCCAGAGCACGGCGAAGGCCACCACCATGGCCATGAGGATCCCATTGATCCGCTTCATCTGCCATGCCCGTGAGCTATAGGTGCCCTTGCGGAACATCCGCCTCCGCTTCCGCAGGTGCTGGTAGATGCGCACGTAGCAGACCAGGATGAAGGCCAAGGGCACACAGTACTGGAAGAGCAGCAGGGAGGTGGTGTAGACGATGCGGTGGTGGTGCAGTGACCACGACTCGGTACAGACCACCTTATCTGCCAGAAACTCCACAGCCTTGGAGTGGTTCCTATGAAAGACTTTCTCCAGGACACTGTTGACCAGGAAGGGCAGAGAGAGGAAGCCGCCGATGAGCCAGATGATCACAATCCCCAGGTAGGCCTGGGGGACACTGGGCTTCCAGCCTGTTGGGTTGATGATGAGCTGATGCCTCTCTAGGGCCACAAGGACAAGCGAAAGGATGGAGACTGTCACCGACATGCACTGGATGAAGGCCGACATCTTGCAAAGGGTCTCCCCAAAGACCCAGTAGTCCATGATGGTGTATATGGCCGTGAGCGGCTGGCAGAGGAGACCCATGAGGAAGTCAGAGAAAGCCAGGTTGGCAATGAGCAGGTTGGTCACGTTGGCCTTCTCCTTCTGCCGCACAGTCACGCATATGAGGCAGAGGTTGCCCAGGACCCCCACAACAGTCTCAATACTATAAGAGGTGACAATGAAGACCATCAGGTCTACAGAATCCTGGCAGTGGTCTGAGAAGTTGTACGGAATGCTCCTTGACCTGCTCCTGTTTTGACCCTGTGGGGATCCTGGGAGCAATAAGGCCAGGAAGTGAGAGACATTCATGGTGCAGGTGAGAAGATTCCAGAAGGTTCAGTGACGAAGCCTACAAAGCAAACAGACAAGTGGTAGTCAGGGATCCTGCCTCCTGAATCCAGGGAGAGGTGGGGGCCACATAAAGAGGTTCATGGCATCTGCCATCCCAAGTCTGCTGGGACCTGGAAGACCTGAGCCTCAGAGATATAAAGCAACTTGCCCATGGTCACATGGCTAATCAGTCACAGGGCTCAGATGTGAACTCCGGTCTGATGCCAGAACTTATCATACACATTCCCTCTGACTTCAGGCTTCCAATCTGTTTTAATGATAAAGAAACTAGGGATTTGCATGCAGAGTACAAAGACAGAACTGCTTAGGGAATATGGGCCAAAATCCCCTTGTGATATTTTATCCAAATGGAGACGGTGGCAAATGCCACCATCTGCTCAGGTCCTTCCACAGAGACCCCTGCCCTATGGGATAAAACCAAACCTCGGAGCTCGCCACCCAGTGCACCCCCCTGGTCTCGGGCCCTACCTGCCCTGCCAGCCTTGTTTCTCCAGCTACACACGGCAGAGTTGAAGACGGCCACGGATGCAAAGACGGGGTCATCAGCATGCCAGCTCTCTCCTCCTGCCCATCATGCTGCACACGTGCAAGGCTAAGGTTATGAATTGCCCCTGACTGTCCTGTGTATGCTCAAGTCATCTGAACTAGCTTGCAGATCCCAAGCACACCAGCTTGGTCCATACCTCCATGCCCTGACACAGCTTGTCTCTTTTCCCTGGCTGTCTCCTCAACATGAGGGACCCTCTGCTAACACCAGATTGGAATTTTGGACCCTGGAATCTCCAGGTGGTAATGCCAATGGCAGAGGCTCTGACTTAGAGAGCTACCAGATCACTCCACACACCACCGTGATTCACCTTCCTCACGGGGTCTCTAGCTGTCATTAATCCCGTGGGCAGTTCCCGGCCATCAGGAAGCATTGCAATCCTTCCAGGAGCATGTTGAAAGAGCAGACTCCAGAGCCCCACACCTGGAGATACAGTAAAGGGAGTCTGGGATGGGGCCCAGGCACCTGTTTCTTAGCAAGTGGCCCAGAGAACTCTCATGCGCATGCCCCTCAAGTCCCATTGTGAAATACACCATTCACAAAGGAAGACCCTATTTCAGATATTCTTTAAGGCCCGCAGAATGGTCAAGCCCATTGGTGAGCATATATATGTTCTTCACGATCAAGTGACAATTTAAAAGCTGTTTTTACAGAGTATGGCCAAAATGAACCAGAGATCAGTAAAATCTGTATGTCTAATGTCCTAAATGTCACTCACCGTGCATTTGATCTGGCTTATAAAGATGAGCTACATTTGGCTATTTACAAGATCAAGTCATGAATTCAACTGATACTTTACATGCTGGTTCTTTTGGCTACTGAATCTCAGAGGCAGGAGGATTTTTCTGGCACCACAGTCTTCTGGCAGAAAGGACTGTTTGGAATAGAACCTGGTAAAATGAAATACAGCAAAGCCAAATGTAAGGTCCAGTATGTTGAGTCCAAAAGCAGCCAGAGCTGCATGAAACAGAGTTGGGTGCACTATGCTCAGAAGCAGTCAATGGGAGAGACACCCCAGGCTCTGGTTGGCCATCAGCCAGGGCTGGGTCAATGGCAGGGAGTAAGACCAGCAGCTCTAAATTAGCCAAGGACAACATGATCAGAGCAGAGTTCGTGGGTGGGGAGACCTCCAAAAAATCCTCACATCTTCATTCACTCAATAAACATGTGCCAAGACCTATGACAGAAGACCCATGCAAAGATGACATATGGCCATGTCCCTCCCAGACCACAGAACTGCCCCCAGAAACACAGGTGAGCCTCAAGGCCATACCATGGCCAAAACCAGTATGACCGCAACACCTGTGAGCTGGGAGATGGGAGAGGAAGCAAGAAGATGAGAGAAGATGTGACATTGAGGCAGGGCCCCAAAGTTGAAGGAGTCAGCCATCCAGTGGACCAGATAGAGGAGGGAATTCAAGGTGCGAGGAACAGCATGTGCAAAGACAGGAAGGCAGGGAAGAGCAGAACCTCCTCCGAGAACAGCGAGCCCCTCCGAATAACAGAAGTCTCGCGTAGGTGGAAGGCAGTGGCAAGCAGTGAGACCGGAGAGGTAGGCCGGAGCAGGAATGCCAGGGGAGCCATTAAAAGCTGGCCAACAAGCCCATGTCCATTCTAGAAATATCATTCGGATATAGAGAACAGACTGAGGAAGAAGTCCAGGACATGCGGAGAGGGAGGGCCAGGAAGACTGCACTGGCTTGTAGCCCCCTTCTTAGGGAAGCCATAAAGAGTAACATAAGGGATGGGCACGTGTGGCCCGGGACACCCCTCACCAGTCACTGCGCCTAGACCACGTGAGTGCCTGAAAGCAAATCAGCCCTTCCCAGCAACTGGTGGGAACAGGGAGAGGAGGGAAGTGCCAGGACTGGGAGATCAGTAAGGCAGGAAAGCAAGCATGGGGTTGGGACCAGAAAAGAATCGGAACTATCAGCGGGCCTCTGTGTGTTTCTGTAGAAGCTGGGAGAGGCCCAGCAGGAGGAAACTCCATGACCCCCCACCTCCACCCCAGAAAGGCCCTCTGTGCACCAGGACTGAGGATTTCCAGAAGCATACTCCAGGGCCAAGGTGGCAATGACTCAAATCCAAGAGCCCCAGATCATCAGGAAAGCTAGATTTCTTTCAAAGAACATGCTGAGAGGTGGAGGCCCCCGGAAAGGAGGATCCCTTGGAGAGAGATGCTCCTGAGCAGAATCAGGTGAGGAAGGATAGGACTTAGCTACCCCCAGGGCCTGGTGGAAAGCTATCATGATCCAGCCACAACCCCACCAACTGGAACTTAACGGTTGAGGTCTCAGAGTGAGATCATGTGGCTGAAAGGAGTAGGTCACCTTGCTTGGGGATGCTTTCCCTCAAGAGCAGGCTGTAGTTCTGTCTCCCCAGTTGTCTGAGGGCCCCTGGGGGCAAGAACAGTATCCTTTGTTGCACAGGGCCATCCCTGGCATCTGGAAAAAGAGCCGAGAAACATTAGGACCCCAGGGAGCCCAGCAGGCCATGAACTTGTCCGGGTTTCAAATTCCAGCCCTGCCACCTGTCAGCAGGGTGGCTTTGGGAGAGTTGCTGAACCTCCCTGAGCCTCAGTTCCCTCAGCTATATGGGGGCGGGGGGACAAATCCTTATCTTACAGGAGGGCCTGGTTCCCTCCTAGGTCAGGGGATAAAATGGGAACAAAAGGAGCCTGAAAGGTAGGACCCTGGAGCTCTCCCTCCCTTAGAGTCTTTCAGGTTCAGTCTCCTTCTTAGTTCCTTGGACAAATAACACAATTCAGTGGACCAGGTCCTGTTCAGGAACTCTCTCTGCCACCTCCTGGGAAGCTGAGCTGCCCATTTTGCAACAAGACCAGACTATCCTAGAGTAGGTGCTCATTAAACGTTAGCTTCCTTCTCTTCCCACACATCCTCCCACCAACACTACCCAAGGAGACCTCACTCTCTTCCACCATGAGGACCTGGCCACAGTGGTCATACAAACCCATGCCCAGGCCGCTGAGTGCACTTGACTCTGGCTTTGACCCAAAGCCTCTTTAGGAAGTCCTGCAAGAGGGCACAGAGCTGGGAGCAATCACCTACTCCAATCCTTTACCCAGTGCCCGGCCTCAAAATGGCGCCAGTGCTGCTGCAGCACGCTCCTGCTGTGAGCCCCGCCCCACCATGGAGTTCCCATCTCTACCCCGGGCTAGGAAGGGCCACACTCCCACTGCTCGAATTTCAGAGCCAAAGACTTCGCCGTCCACAGGCCAGTGACTAGCCCATGACAGGCCTCACACTGACCCTCCTTCACACTGCCCCATCTGTAGATGAGACCCCAGGATTCTGAGGGACACATAGGCAGTAAGAAGGTGGTAGCCGCCAGCATGCAGACAGATGAGATTTTGCTTTGATTTTGGTCCCTGGACTCCCAGGAGATGCCCAAACAGCCCATGAGGCTGCACCTGGGGAGGGGCAGGATCTGAGGCTGCTAGACCCAGGGGAGCAGGGAAGCGCATTTGGTAGAGAAAGCTGGAGACTGCAGAGGGAGCCCAGTCTTAGAGGAGAGAGAGCAAGAAGGGAGGGGGCTTGCCTCAACCTGGAGAACACATGCATTCTTGGGAGACAATGAACAGAAGGGACATCAGCTGTCACAGAGCTTCGGGCACCTTATACCCCACCTGGCATTTATCCACAACACAGCCCTGCAAGGAAGGCATTACTAGGCTGAACCACATGAAATTGCCAGTACCCAGCCATTGTTGCCCTGCAAACACGGCAAATTCATGTGGTTCAATCTCATATCTGCTCCGTTTTCAAGAGGGGGACGCTTGAGACCCAGCTAGAGGAAGGGATCTGACTAGTAAGAACACAGGGACACAGCTAATAAGAACCCCAGCAGTCTGACTCTGAAACCCCTGCCCTTGGACCTGCCAGGCAGATTTTGAAAAGGGAGGTGGAGCCCATGCTTAAGCAAGACGCAAGCTGACGTAGAGCCACAGAGGAGCAGAGGCTGGGTTGGCGGTAAAGGTCTCTGATAAAGCCTGACAGAGTCCATGGTCCCAGTGAGCGCCCAAGGGTGCTGGGAGGTGGCTGAGCCAAATAAGAAGGTGCCCCAGGGACCTGTGTTAGTAAGGTGGAGGGCTTTGATCCTTGGTCCCAGCATGCTGGCTCAGAGCCCCCAGCTCCCCAGCAGCGCCAAGGACCATCCAGCCTCTTCAGGCCCCTGTCCTTCCCATGCAGTCTGGGACTGGCGGTCCCTAAGGTAATGACACTCTTGGGGTTGCCTCCTTACTGACACACTCTGGAACCTCAGAGCCCTCCCCCACCATGGCAGACCACAAGAGGACGGCTCCCCAAGGAGGAGATGCAGGCTGGAAGGGCTACCACTGAGCAAGGACCCGTCCCTTGCAAGGGTCAGTGCCTCGCAGCCTCCAGCAGTGCAGGGATCGCATCCCCTCCCAGAGGTGCTGAGCTGGGGCCACATGACCACTTCAGACCTTTCTGGGTGCTTGCCTCCCCCACCCCCCAGCAGGGGACCGCATACCAAGACTGTCCCTCACTTCCCATTGCGTACCTCAGAGGTGCGCAGTGAGGAGGACCAGGGCTCAGTTCCTCCGGGTCCGCCCCAGGGGTGGTGATTCTGGAAGGGGGAGAGGGGATTATTGTACAAGGGCCATAGAATGGTGAGTCTGGATTTAGCTCCCAGGCAGCTGTCAAGACACTGGCGGCGGGAACATCTGAAGCTCTGGGAGTGGTCTCCCCCGCAGCCTGCGTTCCACATCAGTCAGAGGAAAACTAACAACTAATACACCTCCTGGTGTCCTAAAGCCCATGTGCCCAGACGCTTTCCATGCACCCCTCGTTTCTCGCGGCCCACAGGGTGAGGCAGCAGGTGAGGACACCGCGGCGGCGGAAGCCCGAGTCCACTGGAGGGGCTGCGGACTCCCCACCCCCGCCCCGCCCCGCCCCGCCCTCCACCCCTCACCCCGGC